TGGCCAAGAACCTATATTATATACTGCTTGTATGGCCAAGAACCTATATTATATACTGCTTGTATGGCCAAGAACCTATATTATATACTGCTTGTGTGGCCAAGAATAGATAGGCTAGGGACCTAAGGAAAACTAAACACTACTGTTCTGCTAAAGGAATATGGCAATAAGATGACTGCTAGCGACATTCTGCTAGGATTACAGATCCATGCCTTGCTGAGCCATCATCAGAGAAGCTTCTTCCTTCAGTAAGATGGGAGCAAAATACAGAGATTCACAGTCAGACAATCTGCAGAGAGTGAGAGAATATTCATCCCTTTGAATATTCATCCCTAAATGGGATGTCTCTGTCAAATCCCTTCTCGGGGCTCAGGGAAATCTTTGAAAAAGGAACTGGAAAGATTATAAGAGCCAGAGAGGATGGAGAACATTAAGGAAACAAGGTTTCTTGGCACAGCAGGGTGGGCTCACATATGAACTCACAGAGACCGAGGCAGCATTCACAGGGCCTGTCCAAGTCTGCACAAGATGATGTCCTTGAACTGAACGGAGAAGTGGATACACGGCTCCATCCCTAACCTAGAATCTACTCCCAGTTGATAGCTACATGGAAATGAAAACTTAGTTTATTCTACGGGAGTCTCACTGGGGGGAGGGGACTCTTGAGGGTTGGCCCCGTGCCCAGCAGTAGATGGCCTACACACACTGAACTCCATGGCATCTTTGGAGGTTCTTTGTCTTATAATATTAAGTCGACCTTTTGTCCTCAGGTGGGTGTGTGTGTGTGTGTGTGTGTGTGTGTGTGTGTGTGTGTGTGTGTGTATGTGTGTGTGTGTGTGTGTTTCTTACAGGCACTTTGCATTTACATTATGGCTCCCTGTTTCAGGTTTTTATGGGATTCCTGAGTGTGTGGATACATGTGTCGCTGCATTTATATGTGTTTTTTGTGCTTTCACTTTGACTCTTTTTCTTGTTTGGTTGTTTTGCTATATCCTGATTTGTTTGTTTTGTAATTTATCATATATTATTTAATTATTATTTCTTAGATGCCTGTTTTCTAAGGAGAGACAGAAAGGTCTCTTGATCTTAATGGGAGGGGAGGTGGAGAGGAACGGGGAGGAGTAGGGGGAGGGGAAGCCATAATCAGAATATATTATAACAAGAAAAACATATTTTCAGTTAAAAAAATAAAAAGAAGGGACAAGAGTAGAGGAAGGGAAGGGGGAGAGACGGGACGAAAGAAGAGGAAACAGATATATGTGTTGAGTTGAAAATAAACATTTTGCATTTTTTTACCTGTTGCAACAAAAATTTAAAAGTTGCATATACTGTAACCTGTCTCCTAAAGTCAAATGTTTTAAACATCCCCAAATACCCAAGGCATTTAAACTAAAAAAAAAAAAAAAAGTTAAGTCCTAGAAGTAACCACTAGAGGATAACTGTTGAAGTAGATGAAGTGGTGACAGCCGAGACTACCTTAAAGACAAAGAAACCAAAGAGATCCTCCCAGATTGGCTCCATGCAATTGAGTGCAGACAAGGTCTAAAATGAGAATGAAGCATACAAAAGAAAGGAGGGGTTGGGTGAGGCAACTGCATCCTGAACCAACAGAACTACTCCAGAGAAAAGAGGAACCTCCCAAGTGAAACCTCCACAGCGCGCGCGCGCACACACACACACACACACACACACACACACACACACACACAGTGAACCTGGAGGCTGTTCTAGAATTGCCATTTCCTTTTCAAGCAATTTTGAGGCATTCCATGACTTCTGCGTGTCTTCATTACTTATTGTGTGCAATAGAAATAATTTAATTTAGTGGCTTATGAATTGAACATAAAGGGAATTAATCTTTATAAAGTATGTATGCTGTGACTAGCATATGAAAAATGTTTAGCTAAAACCATTCATCACTTTCATTATAAATATCATTAAGTTTGCATTCCTTCCTTGAGTTCCTAAATATTTGGTTTACAAATTTGGCGGATTCCATTAAAAACAACATGCCAAAGAGTTCAATAGGGAGACTGAATCTATCTCCAATTGTAAGCTGAATAATTAAGGAAGTAGTTTTTGCTTATTGACATTGGTGTCTATTTGGTTATCTTGGTTATAGGAAAGTGTATATTTGGCTTTCATGAGAAGGCTTCACAAGTTTGAAAGGCAAACAAAATCTTTGATGTTATTATCATACATTGCCTTTTCAAAATCATTTGCCTTCTTCTTCAATGTATTATATTTGTAGTTGGAGTTTTCTCCAGTCCTGCCCAGGCCCAGAGCCGCTCAGCCCCAAATAAACACATAGAGACTTATATTACTTATAAACTGTATGGCCATGTCAGGCTTCTTGCTATCTAGTTCTTATATCTTAAATTAACCCATTTCTATTAATCTATAAGTTGCCATGTGTCTTGTGGCTTACCAGTACTTTTACATCTTGCTTCCTCTGTGTCTGGCTGGCGACTCTTAACTCAGCCTTCCTATTCCCAAAATTCTCCTCTCTCACTTTGTCCCACCTATACTTCCTGCCTAGCTACTGGCCAATCAACACTTTATTTATTAACCAATCAGAGCAGCACATTCACAGCATATAGAAAGACATCCTCCCCAGCATATACTTTTCTACATTCATTCACTGCAATTTGTTTTAAACTCTTTATCCCTATTCCTAGTAACACCCCTCATTCACTTGTCATTAAGCCTATTTTCTAAATGTGGTGCCTTTTTCTGTACCTATGTGGAGGACTTTTTGTTGCTGACATGGGCAAATGCTAAGGTGAGGCTTTATGGATTGCTGCTAGAGATCTTGAAGGCTTCCTTTCTGCTGGGTGATGGAAACAGCCGTGCCTTGCTTCAAAAAAGAAAATCTGTAAGATAACTTTCCTATAAGATTAAAACAGACAGTGATAACAAGGATAGCACAGTCAATGGCTCTGAGAAAGGAAGACACACAAAAATCGGAGTATAACTTAAATTTAGCCAATGATATTTCAGTGCTCCTGGCTGCTTTTTCCAATGATTGCTTAGGTAATTAAATAAGCCAGACTGAATCCAAAGTCAGTTAGGCTGGGAAAAATGAAGTATTGTAAAACATTCTTTTTGGTCTTAAGGATTGTGAAAGGTAAATGTCATCTATATTTTTGCTTCAAGCAAAACTTATCCTAGCATCGTTATAAAGGATGATTATTGAAGTAAGAAGGGGGTAAAATGAGGCAGAGGGGTAGATAATTATTGGGATTTAGTAAAGACTAATTTGTATAATATGAAGCATAGTAATATTTAGCAGCGGCTCTTATACTATAAAAATATATTCATTTTATGCCCATCTCTCTCTCTCTAGATATTAACATTAGCCATGCAGTTTTATTTGTGTCTATTTAAATTATCTTTTTTGTTTACATGAATGCTTAGCCTCCTCTTATTTTTTTTGAGTTACACTCAAATGTGTTACATGTCTGTGAATTATACCCCAAGTGTGACAGACGATGACTATTTGCAGGATACCAAGCAACAGTTACCCTGGCAACAATAACCAGGGGATGTTTCTCAGAACTCCTGTCTCCTCTCTTCCCCATCATTTTCCCTGTTTTGAGAGTAAGACAACATCATTACCAGGGTTATCTGTAGCTGGTTTTTACCTTTGGCATAATGAAAAAGAGAAAGCTTATAAATGACAACCTTTTACTTACTATCAGGGGAATTAGGTGCATCTCTGCAGTCAAGGCTGAATGGAAGGAGACTCTGTTTAAGGGAAAGAGCTGTGTGCTCTCCTACTAAGAAATACTCTGTGATGGGAGAATTGTCTCAACTGCTACTACAAGCATTTATGGGAGGTGAATGAAATTGTGGATTATCATATGTAGGCTAAAGGTATGTAAATTTCATTGTCAGATATAAGAAAAGCTTTTGCTGTGAAATATCCCTTTATACTGTGTGAATATATGTCACTGTGATTGATTTAATAAAGAAGCTAACTGGTCAATAGCTGGTCAAAATAAAGATAGGCAGGGGAGCCAGACTAAGAGAATGTTGGGAGGAAGAAGGGCAGCCTGGAGTGGCCACTCAGGTGCAGAGGGAGCAGGAGATGAATGTGCCACAATAATAAAGGTACCACTGTGTGTCAGAGCAAAAATAAGGAATATGGGTTAACTTAAAATGTAAGAGCTGGTTAGTAATAAGCCTGAGCTATTGGCTGAGCATTTATAATTTATATTAAGTATTTGAGTCAGTTATTTGGAAAGTGGATACTGGTTATTTGGGAGCTGCTGGTGGGATAGAAACTTCCATCATCAAATGGTGCCTAACATCCAGGGCCAAGTACATCCACACAAAGCCCGAGAAATCATTTTTTTTTTTAAAAAGGTTTTAAACACACAGACATGACTTCATAGTTTTGTGTCTCTCATATCTATTGTGGTACAGAGACACATCTCCTGGCAACTGCCAGCACACCATGAGCTAAGCCACATGGCAGGTTCCTGAAGTCTCTCACATGGGTGGTAGTACAGAGAGGCATCTCTCAGCCACTGCCTGTGAGCTTAAGCTATGTGGGAGCCTATGGAGGTTTCCTAGTGAGATCTGAGCTTGCTTTAAACAGCAGGGCTACTACATAAGGGGATTACTTAACCTTGTGTGTGGTTATCAGATGTTTGGAAGGGTCTACACTTTGCTGTGTGGTATGGTTTGATCTAGCAAGGGGGAGGCCTTTTGCCCTGTCCCCTGGCATTGTTATAGAAAGCTCCTTTGAAGAGATAGAAGGGGCCGGTGGATTTTGATCCAGGTCCTCCTGAAGCTATACTTTATTTCTGTCTGAGTCATCTCTGCTATCTTTCTATCTAAAACATTTCTTATTCCTCTCTCCTCCTCATAGGAACCCCATAAAAGGTGGGAGCTGGCCTCCCACAGATGGTGCCCTGAACAGGGACTTAGAATCAGGGACCCCCACAGATGTCGCCAGAACTGGGGACTTGGGTGTAGAGGAAGTTAAGTGAGAGTAGGAAATAACCCTGCAGGAGGCAGTTGGACATGTCTGATTTTTCAGTAAAAGTGAAGGCAGGGGTATTTTATTCTTCAGGAGCAAAAATTGTATAGAGAAAGGATTAGGTTGAAGTGAGTATCTCTCTCTGTCTTGGTTCCTTTTTTTCTTTCTCTCTTAATTTCTATCTATTAAAATTAGGAAAAAATATAGAGTTAAGTATAGGAATATAGAGTAGGAAGACACTAAGGGTAAGGTAGAAAAGCAACAAGTACAGAAGAACTGTGTCCTTGATTCTCTGACTATGGAAATCTGAACACAGATTCCTGGGGGAGAATTGGAGTCCAAATGCAAAAATACCATGAGGAAAATGGGCCAGAAAAGAGTGCCATGGAAGCTTTTGGCCCATGGACAGGTTAGATCTGAGTCCTGAGCAGCAAGGGGAAATTTTTCCCTGAGGTAGATATGGGTGAGACAAAACCTTCTGATCCAGTGACTTTGGATGAAAACGCTTACTGATAACATCATATAATCAGGGGCAGTTCCCTCTTGGCCATGAAGCTGAGTTTAGGGAACAGAAGTTTTGGGATGAGACATGGGAGGTACTGGAAGGCTTGAAAAACTTAATAATTTCTCTTACTCAAAAACTGGAAGCTTCTCAGGTCTCTTTCTTCTGTAGGAGTAGAATTAGACTCACCTGAGGGAACACCTATCAGATTTGGAAAGCTGCCCATAATTGCTGCCCTAGCACAACCCACCCCACCCCCAACCCCCAAGCATCACAAAGCAAACCCTCACTGTTAGCCCCGTGTCTCCTCTTCAAGCCAGCATTTGGGAAGCAATGTTTGAGTGCATTCTGGGGACACTGGGGTCTCCATAGTCACCAGGCAGAATCCCCAAGGGCAGAACCTTGGCAGAGGCAGTGCAGGACTGGGGGGGGAGGGGGAGAAAGCTGCTGGCTGACAAGACACCGAGTGGGATGAGCCCTGGCATGGAGAGAGCAGCAGATGCTTTGAAATCCTCCCTGCAATGAAAAGAGCAGGGTCTAAGTCCCTAGCCGTAGCTGCAATGATAGCATGGGAAAAGCTGAGGATATGTTTGGCCATACAAATGGGAATGCAAGCCCCTACCCCAGAACAGAAAGTGGCTAGCAGAGGGCCTGAGAAGTGGTAGCAGCACCAGGGACTCTGCATCTGAGGGGAGGAAATAAGCAGGGACAAATGAGATCTGTCCAGGAGGAAATCTCTCTGAAAAGACTCTTGTTTCAAGTACTCTCAATTTTTTTTCCACTGACCCAGTGAGGTGGGAGTGGGGTGGGGAGAGCCACAAGGAGTTCTCACTTCTGACACCAAGCTCTGGTCTGTGCATGTGGGTGGGCACAACCTGCTCGGGGACAGTGCCAGATGGGGAGTTTTATTGAGGCAGTTCACCTGTCAAATGGTAATGAAGGTGTCCTAAGACAAACTCAGGAAGGACAGAAACCTCTTGTGGCAAAAGAGTAAAAGCTTGATCTTGATTTTGGTACAAATACTGACTGTGAAGAAGGAGCCCCTTTCAGACAAGGTAAGTCCAGACAAGGCTTCCAGATGTTCCCCATAATAGGGCAGTAAGATGCCCAGGGAAATATCATGCAAATGCATGTTCCCATTCTTTTAAAACAACTTAAGGAGTTTAAAATGCCATTTTTTAAGCTCAAAATGCCATTTTTTTCCCCCACAAACTTTGTTAGTCTTACCTCCTGGCCACTGGAAACAGAGGAACAAAGCTTACCCATCAGGAGGCAATTAAAATGCTAATGCCATTTGTCAAGCCATTTTGAGACTCTTTAGAAAGCAAGGGAGACCAGGAAGTTGCTTTGGGTGTGTAAAAAACTTAAGGGTAAATAAGGAACTTGGGTTGTGCCAGAGATGCAGAAGAAGGGCAAATTGGGCTAATAGAAGTTTATCAAAGACAAGGCATCATTGAAAGAGCTCATGGCAGTCTTTAGATGCACCTTTAAAAAAGAAGAGGGGATTGTACCCTCAGTCATCAAATGGAGCTTGATGGCTGCCTGAGTGCTTGATGTGATGTATGGGACAGTGGAATGTCAGCTTTGATGACACTGTAGCTGCTGATGGAACCAATGTTCCTGATATTGATGTCCCATCCTGCAGTTGGGGGAAAGCAGGAGAATAAGGGGGCTCTCAGAGTGCTGAAAAGGAGTTTGGGACAAAGGTTTTGTCACCATTTAATAATGAAACAGAGCCTGGAGCCACACCACTTCTGTCTACTATCAGCAAATTAATGCATGGCCCCTTCAAGGGGCAGTTCCTGAGTCCTACTAGCTGAGAAAAGAAGCAGCTCAGTTACTATGGTGACTATCCTTGCCCCCGGAAGCAACATTCTCAGGAAAGACTGTCATAAAGTTCTGCTGATGTGGGGAGTGAAGCTTTCAGCAACATTTGTTTGAATTGTAGCATTCAGGGGAACTGCAATGAGTAAAGGGACAACTCCCCAGATGGTGAATGTCTGCCACTACTGGGCACAGTTCAGCCAGCTCTGGAACATCTGGGAGGGCCTGGCAGGGAAGGTGGATAGGGGAAGTGTCAATGTCCCTAGTGTTACAACTCCCTACCAGTGGCACTAATCCAATTCCAGAGTCGAGAGAGTTGGATCTAAAGAATCTTGAGCCACTGATTAATTAGGCTCTGATTTCAAACTGTTTGTGGAACTTTAAGGATGTTATCAAAACTGATTGTGAACTTCAAACCTCAGAAATGAAACAGTTTTGAGTTTACCTGCAATTTTAACTGTGGTGACTCATGATTCATGTACTCCTGGTATTGTTGGAAGAAAATGTAAATAGTTATATTAAGACATCTCTTTTAGATGTTTGCTGAAGTTTGCAAAGCAGTCCTATAAAGAGTTTACTTTTGAATATAAGTTTGTAAGAAGTGTAAATGTGTATCTTAATATTCATGCCATTTGTAAATATGTATAGCAATGTTCATATTAGAATTATGTTGATATTAATGAACCATGGTTTGGTGAAGCTAAGGGAATCTTTAAGTTTGATGCACTTTATTTGATGTGTTTGCATCAAGAGTGTATTGATTTAAAAAAGGGCATGGCATAGCCAAGGCTATTACAGACATTTTAGACGCATTCAAAATAGAATATTCCATCTTTCTTATCCTTTACTCCTTTACTGGGGTGTGTGGCAGCCCTAGGGATTGCTGTGGTTGTTTCAGCTACTTGCAAGCTCATAGTAGAGACATGGGTCAGAGATGAGTGAAGCTCTGCACTCCCTCCTGCCAGAGGCTGGTAGCCAGAGGCAGGCAGTGTTCTTCTTGCTAGCTTCCAACCTAATACAGAGTACCCTTTGCCAAAAGTATATCTTGAAGATGGGTAAGGCTTGTCTAGCTGAAGAAGATGACCTGAGGCAGGCACAATCTGTCTGGGGGGCCTGAGGGGCCTGAGGGGCCTGAGGGGCCTGAGGGGCTGAGGGGCCTGAGGGGTCCTTTATTATGTTAAAAGGGGAACCTGTAGGAGCCCTCAGAGGTTTCCTAGTGAGATCTGAGCTTGCTTTACCCAGCAGAGCTGCATTCGGATGAATTAACTGGTTACCAGGTATTTGGAAGGGTCTGCACTTTGCTGTGTGGAATGCTTTGATTTAGCAAGGGGGAGGTTTTTTGCCCTGCCCCTTGGCATTGTTATAAAAAGCCCATTTGAAGAGACAGAAGGGACTGATGGATTTTGATCCAGGTCATCTTGAAGCTATTCTGTATTTTTGTCTGTCTCATCTCCACTCTCTTTCTATCTAAAATGCTTCTTATTCCTCTCTCCTCCTTATAGGAATTCTGTAAAAGGTGAGAGCTGACCTTCCACAAAGCTACACGCTGCATGGGGGGTGGTGTTGGGGATTTTGCTCATGCAGACAGAAAAGGTTATAGATATGCAGTAAAGACAGATTCAGATTAAAACAAAAAAAACAAAAACAAAGAAAAAAACCACCTCTAAATGGGTTACAGTGCCTTTAAAAATATACACAAGGTTTGGAGAGAAGAGAAAATGGGTAGAAATAGTCCTTACAAAGGGAATAAAGTAATAAAAATATAAGCCATGTAAAGATGGGGAAATAGACAGAGAGTCTGGATCCTGTATGTTATTGTCTTGTTTTTGAATTTTTTTAGCTGCTAAGAGACACTGGATCATAAAAACTGCTAGATTTAACCAACTTATACATTTAAAAAATATCTTGACTTCAAAATTGAATCCAAAAGGTATGTTATTTTGGGGAAGAGGTTATCCTTTTATTTCCACAGGAAATGAGAGGCTGTGGATTAATTCCAGGTTAAAAAATCAGATTTGATGGAGAAAGACCCCTTGAAATCCTGACTGCAGACATAAAGAAATAAACCTAGAAGAACTACAAGACATGCGATGTATATTTTATCAGCTCAAACACAAAACAAAAAAATCATCTGTGGCTGATTTGTGTACAATGCACAGTATATACTTATATTAATGCAGATATGTATGCTACCTTTAAAAGCTTATGTATTTCAGAACACAGGGGGAAGGGAGGGGCAGAGACTGAAAATGGATGGCTTACATGATCCAGCATCCAGAATAGCTTCCAGGTTGCTGACTTAGAAGATCCAGCCTCAAAGAATATTACAGCCAAGACTTAATAATTATCCTAAATTTTCTAAGGTTCCCCAAAGATTACCAGCACCCCAAAACAACAGGAAATAGTCTAGAGAACTGTGCATACATTCGCAGAAAATGGATTATGGGAGTTTCATTAGGAGGGCTGGTTATAAATTGTTATTAGTCGTGGTTCAAAAAAAATCTAGACAAAGAAGTACATTCAGAGATCTCTTTCCAAAAGGAAAAAGGGGGATATGATATAGAAATGTTAGGATAAAAAGGTAGATTATTGAATTTATTTTAATCCAAAAAGCAACTGTTACTCTCAAAATATTTTATATTGGTATGGATTTTGGTATATGGATAAAAATTTAAAATTATTTCTGTTGTATTATATGTATGTTTCTACTCTTGATTGGGGTATTGTGCTTATGCAGTTAATTTAAAAATATAATGTAATTAAGAAATACAGATTAATAGTCATCTATAATAGTCAAACTCATAGTCATTTAGGTTTGTTGCTGTAAAATAGTTAATTTACCTGATGGTAATACGATGATCTATATGATTCTCCAGATAAATGTCAAATTTCTGTGGCAAGGAAGATTTAATGTAAAAACACACAGATATATTTAGATAGATAGATGGTCGACAAAAACTTCAAAGACCTACAGAATGAGGTATTTAATATCTTTAATAACCAAAGGCTTTTCATGACAGTGAGAAACATCTGCTCCCGGCAGCACAAATCTGCTTAAGAAAAGATGATCAGTATTGAAGAAACTTCATATGGAATTTATTTTCTTTATGGCAAAAGCTAGCTATGTGGGCAAAGAAATTACCCTTGTTTCAATTGCTGACAGATACTGTCCAAACTGGACCAGCAGCGTGCAAAAAAGGAACTGCCAAACTTTGCCAAGACAAGGTAGGACAGTCCTTCAAAATTCCCTGCAGGACAGGAAGACTCCACCAACAATTTTTGTCTGATCTAGTAATTCTGAAATGACAGATTTAATTTCACTATTTCAAGTGCAGAAAAAATATCTAATACATGGGATTGTAATCTAAGTGCTGAAATGCAAAACCTTTTAGAATTACTTATGCCTCTATTTAACTGTGTGTCCTTTCTGCATCCCAAATAAGTGTTCAATCTAAATCACATAACAAAGCTTAGGGAAATTTTCTTACTAAAAGAAGCAGAGAAAGTGAACATAAAGGGAGCACTCTCAGATTCAGGAGTCTTTCTTGGAAGAACTGCTTTTCAGGTCCTGTACCTAGAACAGCATTTGTGATGCTAGCATCCTCACCTTCCAGTCCCCAAGGAAGCTAGAAGCTCTCCAGACTTTAGGTACACTCAGAAAACAAAGGGAAACATGAACACTTCTTATAACATGTTACTTCTTTTGTCCTTTTTGTGACATCCAGACCTCCAACTTTGCATTTCTATCTTGAAATTTTATGTTTGATTTTCTTCCTTTCATTTGGGGGAGTGTTTTACTTTATATCTATCTTAGGCTGGTGCACATCTGAACAACTCTCATAAAAATATGAAGTGTTCCTTAAAAAAAAAACAACCAATGACATCATTATCTGATAAAATAGCAGATAATAGAAAGGGCAATACTAGTTTTTTTCCCTCTTCTTTCTCTTCCTTTCATCTTATTTCCTTCCTTCCTCTATCCCTCACTCTCCTACCACAAGCTCTTTTTCTACTTTTCCTTTCCTTTCCTACATCTATTCTGTTCTTTTTCCTTCTGTTCTTCCCCTCCACTCCCCTTTCCTCCCCCTTCCAGTCTCCCCCTTCCACTCCCACCTCATGCCTTATGAAGAATTACTGTAAAATAGTTAATTTACCTGATGGTGATATGATGAACTATATGATTTTCCAGATAAATGTCAACTTTTTGTGGCAAGGAAGATTTAATGTAATAAATAAATACAATATAAATAAACATTAAGTATATGGAGAAAGTATTTTTAATGGCAGTTTCTTCAAGATTATCTTGCAATAATCTGTTAAAATGGTTTTATCTCATAAATAAACTGCCAGTGATAGTTAAAGTCTGTACTCAGTAATATTTTATGGATTTGCATAAAATAAATTGGAGTTCACAAACAAGATGCTTGAAGGTTTTGGCCCATAATGAATGGGCCAAACCGCATTTCATTATGCAAATACAGTTATTTCTCTGGAATACTGAAACAATTTTGAAATATATTAGAGTTTGGCTCTACTAATGGCATTAATCACAGTTCATGTTTAATATACAAACATTTGATTCTTCCATTGGGTACAGATCTTTATTTTAATTATATATTTCAAAAGCATAATACCTTGAAGCCATTGGATTCTGAGGTCTATTTTCATAGTTGAATTTGACATAATCAATGAATATTTCAGGAACTATCCCATTAAAACCTACCGATTATAAAGATGGTAATGAGGATCTTAGATTAGATTCAACTGGGAATTTTATGATAATTAAAAACATCTCTACAGAAAGTATTAGACTGTGGCACAAAAATTATTTCAGGTTATTTCATCAGTTCCAGATAGGTAACAATGGTTCAAATGTTTAAATATACTGGTAAATATAGTCTATCTGAGTGATGAATATCAAAAACGAAATGGGCTTAGTGAAATTTGAAGAAAAATTCAACAAGCACTCATTAGGTTGTATCATATGAACAATAAAGATTCATATAAAGAGCTGTTAGTTGTCAGGGTTTGTGTAGTCTTAATTTTATTCTTGGCCTTCTCCAGTGTATCTGAGTTACAAATCCAAAGAGCTGATTCTTTAGAGCATGTTTGATTCGAGAAGAGTTTAAAGGGCTTTATCAGTTATGTATAAATCGGTTTTCTTTCGAGTAGCCCCATGACTCTAAAATGTGTCCATATGAACTGTTCTGGAGCTTTACAGTGAAGAAGTCAGAGAAAGGGGTTTTAGTAGTCATGAGAGGTAAGTGTTAGACTACAGAAGACAGAAGGGTCTTGGAATACACAGAGCAGTACAACTGATACATTGTTAGACCTGTGCTGCTTTACAGCCTGCTTTAAATTTCTCCTTCATTTTTATTACTTAATGAAATCATTAAACCTTCTATTTAGTTTGCTAAAACATATACAATCTCAAGTAAGCTGCTGTAGGGGAAAATTCTGTGTTCTCTAGATTTTGATGTGAAATTGACTAATTGACTAGACATAATAGGCTCAGTAAAGAAAACCAATAACAGGATGGGCAATGATGGACAAGCCTAGACAGTCAAAACTAAGTGGTGACGGCAGCCTAGACATGTAAGTAGAGCGAGATCTCAGAAGCTGCAGCAATGTTCTCTGTCTGTGTTCCTGGATTTTTGTAATTGTAAAAAATGGTCTGAGAATACTGGGAAAATTGGAATGTAATTAAATGTTCCTAAACAATGTGGATATTTGTTGTATCCCAGATTTTGATTTGTTCATTGTGAGCTTTCACAGAGTTACTGTTGTATGTTTATCTTAGTTACATTTCTACTGTAAAGGCATACCTTGACCATGCCAACACTGAAAAAAGAAAGCATCTCCTTGGGGCTTGCACACAGTTTCAGAGGTTTAGTCCATTGTCATCATGGTGGGGAGCATGGTGGCATGGTGCTGGAGAAGTAGCTGGAAGTTCTACATCTAGATCCACAGGAAACAGAAAGAGAGAGGCTCTGGGCTTGGCATGGTCTTTTGAGATGGCAAACCCCACCCCTAGTGACACCCTTCCTCCAACCAGGCCTCATCTACCCCAACAAAGCCACACTTTCTAATTTTTTCAAATAGTTGACCAAGCAGTCAAATATATGAGCCTATGGGGATCATTCTTATTCAAACCACCACAGTGTTCATGTACATGAGCATCTTCTCCCTATACAGATCATAAACTCAAAAACAGGAATTAATTCTGGTGTACTATGCTTATCTCTCATACTCAAGATGGTCTAGAGTCTATAATGACAAATTAATTAATGATCAACATATACTTATAAAGTGAATATTTTATTGAACATTTATTTTAATATTATGCGGGCCACAGTTTCAAATAGTCACACTGACACGAAAGGGATTATTCAATGTGTTTTATATCTCCTTTATTTTTGGAATGTGGACTTTATGCTGACGATAGTACTTTTGTTGACATATTTACTTTGAATGAGTTATGCCCCTGAACAACTGATGGCCAGGGTTCTTTCTAAAGCTTACTACAATAGCTATGAATTAAATTATTCTATGCTAAGACAAAATCAACACTGAACAAAATCTGTAGTTAAATTTGTTTTCATGTCCTATGCATGAAGTAATATTTCATACAATGTGTTTTGATCATATTCACTCCATCTTCCAACTCCTCCCATGTCCATGCTGCCTCCCCTTCTTTGTCCACCCATCTTTGCATCTTCTTTATCTTTTTTACTTATCAAATGCAATATTTGGATATGTGGCCTTCCACTGGAGCATGGTTGATGCCTCAGGGAATATATTCTTAAAGAAAATTGCCTTTTCTTCTCCCAGCATCTATCAGTTGCCAATAGCTTCTCTGGTAGGGACCTCCTTTCTCCATGCTAGCCTTCTGTCTGGCTTGAGTCTTAGGCATATGTCATGAATATTGAAGTCTATATGTGCAAAAACAATCCCGATGTTTATGAAAACATAAACTTCAAAAGTAAACTGATACTTTGAGTGAAATTGTTAACATTTGATATTTAAAAACAAACATTTTCTTCTAAACAACCTTCTTCTCGAAGTATTAGATATATCTTTAACTGGTTTCTTAAAGTTGGTAATATCTGCAGATTAGCATGTGCCACAAATAGTGTTTCCTTTTTATAGTCAGAAGGACTGAGAAGAGGAGGAAAGAAAAAAATGCCTTGTGTCCACAACTTTCTCCATAATGAACATACTTGAACAGGTTAGAGATCCTGTCTGTTCAAGCCTGTGGGCTGAGAGAACAAACTCCAGGAAGAATGGACATGTGCTTTGTGCTTCCTATGGTATTCAGGCATAGCACAGGTATTGCTCCCAATCAGGGGGCATTTCAGGTAGCTGATCATTGTTTTCCATTGATAGATTGGTAGCTGAGAAAACCTGTGTGTGTGTGTGTGTGTGTGTGTGTGTGTGTGTGTGTGTGTGTGTGTGTGTGAGAGAGAGAGAGAGAGAGAGAGAGAGAGAGAGAGAGAGA